CCAACCCCCCCCCCCCAAAAAAACCCCCAACCTACTGAGTTCTTAGCATTTCTGGGATCAGAGAACTTTATTCTATAGAACTTAATATGCTTTTTTTTCCTCACCTGGCAGACCAAATATCAAACTGGGTATTTGTTACTTCTTATATCCACATTGTGGATTATTAACCTGATAATTTAGGGCTTGAGTTTATCTTTCAGGGGAGGGATTTTTTTCTCCCACATTGATATATAATTTTGTTAAAGACTGGGTGCAATTCAAGTAGCTTTGAGTCGTTATTTCACAAAAATCAATCTAGTTGAATGACCACTGTCTCCTGCATTATGAATTGAGCATATTCCTTAAGAGAAAACATCAATTACAATGTTTAAAGCAGAATAAAATCTAATCCCTGAGTATATGCAGGGGTGGGCAAAAGTAGGTTTACAGTAGTGAGTACACAACAGGTGGACCGGTTGACGAGGGCCAGTGACATGGCCACCACATCACCAGACCTCTCACCCCAATGGGCTTCTTCTTTTGGTGTGTTGTCAAAGATAAAGCCTTTTCACATACTGTAGGTGATATGTTCACTGCGTAAGAGAAGCTTGTCAAGAAATTGATGACAATAAAGAACTCTGTGACAAAGTATGCTTGAGTGTAGCAAGTAGACTACAAGAATGTGTAAATAATGAAGGCTGGCAACCTGAGCGCTTACGAGATTGTACCTAAGTGCACTGTGCCATCGTGACATTTTTCTGAGTTAATAAAGCTATTGTAATAATCATAACCTGCATGTCTTTTTCCACGTGAACAGCTATAAACCTGCTTTGCCCACCCCTGTATTTACAATGTGCAGTTCTGCGGCTGAACAGCACTTCTCTGTTAGATTCCAAACCTTTTGGCGGGGAGATCCTTTGTAATTCATGATTTCTCACCTCCATATCTGATGTCACCTAAACTTCAGAATGCGTCCACATCTGGCACTTCCTCCCTCCTCCCTTCCCCCTCCCCTTCCTCTCCTCCTTCCCGGTCTTCTTTGTATTCACTCCCTTTCTGCCCTCTTTTTCTCCTCTGGCCCTCCTCTTTTCTCTAACGATGTCCTGGGACCCATCCCTTATCACCCTCTCAGGGGTTGCCATCTCTGTCCTCTGGATTTTTGTTTCTTCTGGTTCCTTCCCCTCAGACTTTAGGCAGGTTCTGTGCCCTCTCCCATCCTAAAACCTGCAGTCCCAGACTTCACTGCCTCCTCTGGCTTCCTCCTACCCTGCTCTGGATGGCAGTTTCCTGTAAGGGCTTTTGTTGTTTAACTACTCTAAGCATTGAAGTTTCTTTGTGCTGGAAATTAGCCTCAAGACAACCCATCTCTAAATTAGCATATTCAGGATAAAATTTTTTCCTTAATCCCAGAGATGGAACCAGAATTAGTCATTGGTGATGATTAACAGTTGAAGAGTTATGAGACAGAACTCCTTCTGCCTAGGTGTGTGTAAATCTTCCTCTGCATGGGCTATCACCTTTCAGAATATACTGATCAGTGGTGAGGAATTAGTATGATCAGAAATTTAAGTGGAGGGTTTGATTTTTGTAGAAAGAAGTGTAATGGACACTCTAAAAATGTGTGCCAAGTATTTGTTAACTTTCCTCTGAGCAGTGATGTGCAAGTGATGCCATTTTACCTGAGTTGTAGGCCTGGCACAGTGTCTGTTACCGGGGGACACAAATGTCACATCAATATTCAAAGGATTCTTTTGATGATTATTTTTGTCCTTTAGATATTTCAATATTGAGACATGTTAGAAAATAGGTTTCATGTCATATTGGAAAATGTAAAATAAGACTGACCTATCTTAGCAGGTTTCCCTCTGTTGTGATACTGGAAAACTTTGTTCCTGAAGGACAGTCCTAGTTCCAGGCATTGTTTGGCCACAGAATTGGAAATATCTGTGAATAAAGCTCTATGATGAGATTATTATTATTATTATCGTCATCATCACAGGTTTGATTTATAATGGCTTTCTGCCAGATTCTAACCCAAGGTCTTCATTGTTTGACTTTGGGCAAGCAATTCCTGCTCTCTAAGCCTCAGTACTTTCACCTGTAGATTGAGAAGGCTGATGGGGTACTTTGAGACCCTTCCCTTTGCTTCTACATTTTACATGTTCAGGACCAAAGGGTCATCCTGCAGCAGACAGCCCCTGAGAAGCCCACTGTGAAGGGCCAAAGGGTGTGGCTTTAAAAGAGATGAGTCATGTGCATAATTTGTATAAGTGCAGAATTGTACAGATTGTAAAATAGAATATCTTTTGATATGTAAGAATTTTTACATTATTAAAACTGCAGTTTGGCTCTTCCAGATGCTTAAATTAAGGCCCCTATTTTGGTCAAGTATATAAAAGCACTTTATGTTAATGTGGTTTTTAAAAAAATGTTTTTATTGATTTTTTTAGAGAGAGAGGAAGAGAGAGAGAGAGAGAAAGAAACATTGATGAAACACCAGCTGCCTCCTACACACCCCCTTTTGGGGATTGAGCCCAAAACCTGGGCATGTGCCCTGACTGGATATCGAACTAGTAACCGCTTGGTGCACAGGACGATGCCCAACCAACTGAGTCACACAAGCCAGGGCTTTATGTTAATGTTTTAAAAACTGTTCTCACTTAAATTACTTGCCCACCTGGTATCCTGTAGGGGAGTGAGGGAGCGGTTGGTTTTTGGGGTGGGCTTCTCTCATTCTGGGTTGTTTATGGTTATATGCAATAGGCCAAACTAAGTATAGCGCTTAGCTCTTTGGCATTTAATCTTCCCAGCACCTTGGAGGCTGGCAGGATTATGTAATCCCCTGCTCAGAAAGGTCATATCACTTACCTCAGGCCACTGAGCCAGTGAGATGGTAGAGCTGGAATTGTAGCCCAAGTCTGACTGACCCTGAAGTCCACATTCTTTTGACCAGGTCCCCTGACTCTTGGCACAGGTTGAAGAAGCCCTGGGGAGTCTGGAAGATTCACAAGTGCCTTTTAGCTAGATCCATGCACAAAAGTGTGATTTCCAGCCAAGCCAATTTGGCATATTGATTTGTGAATTTCTATGCGCTCCCAGAGTGCTCTGAAGGACTCTTGAGACTCAGCTTTTGCTGGGACAATACTGCTTGGAGTGACATCTCCTACTATTTATTTTTCCCAATTTGACTTTAGTAGCATGTACTAAGGTAGAGGAGAGTGTCTTACATATACTTGACTGTAGTTCACCAAAGCAGCAATAGCGCTTTCTGCTTGTCCAAACCCATTCTTCTCTCTCCGAGGTCTTAATATTTTATGCCAAAACTGTACCACTGGTTTCAATTTCATTATCTATTGGTTAATCATTTGAATGTACCTTGCTGTCTAAATAGGAGCTTTTAAATTTAATCCACTCTAAAAGCGGCCACTGAACTGCCATTAGGCATTTAGGTCGGAGTGCATAATGTGGGAAGGACAGGGTGAGGGCCAGGGCACACTCGGTTGTGAAAAATACATGAATGTGTGACTGTGTCAAGTGAGCAGAGAGTATATAGATGGTTCTCTCGTTTCTGGCATATAATCTTCACAGATTGGTTTTAAGCTAAGACGTGCATCTTTTCAGATTTTCTTTGCGGCCCACTGATTAGCCCTTGTCTCGTTTTTCTGCGACCACAGTTCTTCAGCTTCGTTGCTGCTCTCTCCCTTGCACTTGAGGACAGTGATAATGAAAGTAATAGGCTCTGCTCCCCCATGGGTTTCTCCTTGTCTGTGTGTGATGCTCTCTTTCAAGTCAGTGGGAGCCCCTTTTTCATCAGCGAGAGAAGCGGAACGGAACATTTTGCAATTACTTACTGCCTTTGTTCCTCGAAGCGGAGAGGGCCTATGGCTAACACCCTTTCATCCTACACCAGCCCAGTGAAGCGGGCATTGCTGTGCTCCTTTAGAGGCAGAGAAACTGAGTCACCCAAAGATGAAAGAAACCCGGTCAAGTAGAGGGAACGCATTCTCAGGCAGGAGGACATTCGCATTGCATCTGCCGTCATGCTGTGCCCGACTTAGGTCGCTCGGCTCTCAGTACCTTAACGAATGTGACATCCCGTTGGCAGTGGGCCACTCCGTCCACGCGGACAACACAAGCTGCAGCCTCTCTGTGGTGGTGGTTCTTAAGCACGGAGCAGCTTTCCATTTTATTAAAAATGTCCCATGGTCAAGAAGATTTATCATTTCAAAATAAAGTAAAAGCTTATTAATTGAGAAGAGCGCAGGGAAGTTTGGGGTTGGAATTCCAGTCTTAATTTGTGAAGACTTTTAGTACAGTTTTAAAAAGTGAAATACAGGTTTTTAAAACTTTAAAGTATGGTACTTGACCAGAAAATGTATCATCCAAAGTAGGGTACTTTGGAGAGTGAAAAGAGTGCTGTTAAAAATTATATTAAAATAATGAGGATTTCAGACAACTGGGATATCATGTCACCCTATAATGAGAATGTATATTATAAAATATTGTGCAAAGAGTAATAAATTCACATTGAGTAAAGCTGAAATAGAAAAGTGATGAAAATTAGATTTATAAAATGAAGTAAAAAAGTGAAAAATTACAATACAATAGACTTTCATTATATATAATATGGAATCAATACCAGTATTTACACTAACTTCCAAGATTTTG